GTGTTAGTGTAGAGTTCTCTGTAATTCTCCCTTTTCTTTCTTTACAGGTCAATGGCACGGATGCAGATTATGAGTATGAGGAAATTACTCTGGAAAGGGTAACATGCTAAATGCCTTTCTGTACTCTGTTTTAGATGGGATTTGATACTTCAGTATGAAAAATTAACCTCTTGATACTGCTAAATGGCAATCCAAAACAATCCTTACTGCTTGGTTTTTTTCTTTATGTAGATTATTTAACCTAAATTAAAAATACAGCAGTTGCTGGAGTTAGGAATAGAAGTTTTTATTCATATCCTTGACCATGAAGGAAAGGATCTCCCTGAGACATACTGCCTTTAATGTTATCTATTCTTGTAGAGAGTAATAACACAAGTTGTTACTTAATTTCCTAGATTGCTATTTATGATAGGCTTTTATTTCTACCATTAAGTTTTATACTGAGATTCAGGCTTACAAGCTGAGATTACAAGGTGATACCTTGTCACATGCATTGCTTTGTTACATTTACATTTAATGCTGGGATCTATTTCAGCTCTTTTTCTTGAGCTGCACCCTTAGAAAGAAAGGAAGAGTTGTGTTTGATACCTGTGCATTCATATCCTTGACTATGAAGGAAAGGATCTCCCTGAGACATACTGCCTTTAATGTTATCTATTCTTGTAGAGAGTAATAACACAAGTTGTTACTTAATTTCCTAGATTGCTATTTATGATAGGCTTTTATTTCTACCATTAAGTTTTATACTGAGATTCAGGCTTACAAGCTGAGATTACAAGGTGATACCTTGTCACATGCATTGCTTTGTTATGTTTACATTTAATGCTGGGGTCTATTTCAGCTCTCTCTTTCTTGAGCTGCACTCTTAGTAAGAAAGGAAGAGTTGTGTTTGAAACCTGTGCAGCTCTGGTTGTTACTGAGAGGGCCAAGAGGTCTTGCAGTTGGTAGTGAGGGCAGGCAAAGGGAAGGGAAAATGTCAGTCTGAATCTCTGCATCTGTGAGGATACATCACATATGTGACACGAAGTACTTGGAGGCTTCTCAAAAATAATTTGTTACTAATTATTTAATGAGGAGCAAATATTTGTAGGAATAATCTCAAAGATCTGGCCCACTAGAGAGGGAAGCTTTTGTCTGGTTTATCAAGGTCCCTTCAGTGAGAAAGCTGGGGTTGGAGCTCTTACAGTTACACAATGACTTGTGTTCTCCTTCCTTCTAGGAAAATAAGCGTAATTACATCTTACATACCTTACTGCACTTCTATGTAGTAAACATTTTCTTATTTTTTGAGTGAAAACTATATAGTTTTGGCTTACTTGTGTTCTCCTTCCTTCTAGGAAAATAAGTGTAGGTACATCTTACATACATTACTGCACTTCTATGTAGTAAACTTATTTTTGGAGTGAAAACTATATAGTTTTGGCTCTATATTGAATCAGACAGCTATATTAGAATATCTTTTCCCCAAAAAAGAAGTGTATAATTTTTTTTTCTTCTTCTCTACCTTTAGGGAAATTCAGGACTTGGCTTTAGCATTGCAGGTGGTACAGACAACCCGCATATTGGGGATGATTCAAGTATTTTCATTACAAAAATTATAGCTGGGGGTGCAGCTGCGCAGGATGGAAGATTACGGTATGATCACTTTGTGTTGGGTTGCTAGATGTTTGCTATTATGTTTTCAAACGGTGGATCGAACGCTTTCTGTTACTTCTGGTAGTTTTATCGTGCTACATTATGTTTTAAATACGTCTTTCTTACAGAAGTATTTTGAGGATAACGAAAAATGCTTGAGTGGACCTGTTGTTTTTTTTCCCCAACCTATAATATCTGCAGTTAAGTGAAGTTAAGGAAACTTCATTGTTTCTGCTCAGTGGTATGAATTGATTATGCCATATGCTCTACAGTCCTTAATTTAGTATACTATGAAAAATCTTAGGTAGGATAAGTAACTCTCGGTTATTCATATGCACATTTTCTGATCTGCAAGATAATTGAGCTTAATAACAACTCTTTTACGCGTGGTATAATGCTGTACCTGAATTTTTCAAAAGCAGTATTTTTTGTTTAAATTAATCGAGTACTCCAGTGTACACCGTTCTTATTTAACTGTGGACTGATACTACTGCTGAAGTCCTAGTGAGGAAATATTGGCGTATTGCTAGATGGCAGCAGGTGATATTTGCAAATTCCTTTGAAGAATGCTGTTAGAAGTTAATAACAAACTGCATTTGTAAATTATTTTTCTAATCCAGAGCAGTCTTTACCTCCTGTATCACTGTGTGGGAAAAGCCCACACGTGATTGTAGGATGAGCTTTTTCCCTCTGGTGTTGTCAGGACCTTGCCCTATCATTTCTGGTGCAGATGCCTGATGTGTTATGGTTTTTAGCCCTGATGAGCTGATTTCAGGGCTTCACCTTAGCTCGTTGACGTTGTCGGCCGTGCATCTGAGAGCACACGGTGACGGGTGGGTCAGGCATTGGGCTTGGTGTAAGGAGAGCTCGGTGTTCCTACAGCAATGTGTTAAATGGAGTGGAAGGCCAGCACTTAAACAGCTGCTGAAAAGCGGGAGTGGAGGTCGACTTGTTCATATCATGCCTTAAAACTGCTGCATTCTCATTGTGTGCCTCCTAGTTTTGGAATTCTTAAAGTCTTTCCTATAGCCCTAAACTAAAGGTAGTTTGTATGAAGCTCTTTTCAAAATACTGTTTAAATTTAATACAGGTAAGTTGGTGTCCTCTTCAGCTGTGAAGAAAACATTCCCGTTAAATGTTTTCTAGTGATCCTTGTTTAATTTTTAAGCACTAATAATTAATTTTAGAGCGTTGTCCTGAATCTAGATAGTTTTTAAGCAAAATCTATGTATCTCAATGTGATAACGTAAACGTTAGTCTATTGTGGGTAAAACAGAAGGCTCCCAATGTATCCGCTCTGCTATAATACAACAGCTGATCATGCATGTTGCTGTCTCTAGGGTTAACGATTGTATTCTACGAGTAAATGAGGTGGATGTTCGCGATGTGACACACAGCAAAGCAGTTGAAGCATTGAAAGAAGCGGGATCAATTGTACGATTGTATGTCAAAAGAAGAAAACCAGTCACGGAAAAAATAGTGGAAATCAAACTTGTAAAAGGCCCTAAAGGTATGTAGGAAGTGTAACACATCTATTTGACAAGAAGGGTAGAGTTGACAATTGATTTCTGCATTTATTTTTCGAAAAAAGAAAATAGTACCTTCCATATGAAGTTCTAGGAGATGCAGAGTAATACAAAAATAGCGGCATCTCACGTGCTCCTGAATTTTCACCCATGTGTCCTGAAACTGGTCTTGTAGAATGTGTATTTTTCTTCCAAATGATAATAACGTGTTTCTGATAGTATTTAGTAATTTTACAGTATGTTACAAATGGGAGCAAAATATTTAATTGAATCACCTAGAGAGTAAAAAATACTTAGCGAAAGTATTATTTTGCTGGACAATGGTTCTGTAAATATCAGTGGTGATGCTTTAGTTCTGCTGTGTGCCTCTTTCAGAAGTCGTGAAGTAAATGAGTCAGCTTTTGATTTTCAGAACTTTCTGGAGAATTATGGAGTTCAGTTGGAAAGGCATCCAGTGTTGCTTCAGCCAGAGCCCAATATTTATATATCTATATGTATGTGTGATACAAATAGTGTCATTATCTGTGTAATCATTTGAATCTAATGAATGCTAAAAGGTTTTTCTGAGTGATTACTTTATCTTTAAACAGGTCTTGGTTTCAGTATTGCTGGTGGTGTAGGAAATCAGCATATACCTGGAGACAACAGCATCTACGTAACCAAAATCATTGAAGGTGGGGCAGCACATAAAGATGGCAAACTCCAGATTGGAGACAAACTTTTAGCTGTAAGTAAGAGCTGCATTTTGTTTATGTTCATTCACTTAGGCCCGATAAGGGCGTGATTCACTTTGTGGTTAAGCTGCCTGCCAGTGGAGTGTAATTTCATAGAAATAGGGGAAAAAAATGATACTGCCAGGAGATCAGTGGTAAAAATTAAGTCTGCAGCGTGAAACACCATCTTATCTAGAAATCTGAAATTTCACACTCAGCCCAGTGTTTCGTGCCAAACCTGTATTAATCAGCATGTTTATTTCTGATGCCTGCTATTATTTTTCTGGGATCTGAGTGATGGCATTGTAGAGCAGCATACAATAGTATTGTTTCTTTTCTCAAAAAAAGGAGAATGGACAGGAACTCCATGTACCGGTGGCTGGCCAGCCTGTAGTGAAACTGCTGCTTATACTGGGTTTTGTGTTTGTGATACTTCTGAATGGCATTTCTTTGAGCTTAAAATACTTTGAAGTTGAATTTTTTTATGCATAAAGTAAAAATAACTTTCAACTTTCTTTAATTCCATCTGCAAATCTAGTTGTCCAGCTAGAAAAATGGGAGCCAGGGATTTCTGACTCGTAAACTCAACTCTTGTAAGGTGTAATTGCCACAACCTCCTGCCTCTACCAGGCGACGCCTGCGTCTGTAAGAGCTCTGAGTACCTCTGTGCTCAAAAGTGCCTGACAGCAGAATGTGGGCTCTGTTGCTTTTTGAGCAGTAAGAAATGGACTCTAAATGTTCACTGCTGAGTTTCCCAGACTTTGTGGGTAAGTTTGTCACTTGTACAGAGCTGGGAAAACTGAAGCTACTTAAAAATAAAATTAAATAAAATAGCCTTGGATTGCTGTCAGGCACTGTTCTGGGGATGCAAGGAGCATACGCAATATGCTATTGGATATATTAAATACACTGTCCTGATTTATTGTAGCTGTAATCATTCCCTCAGTTCATTAAGTTAGGAAAGAAGTGAGTAAAATACCTTGTATAACATCATCTGATGAGCTGAATTTCACTTAGTCAAAGCTTTAGTCACTAATGTAGTGGTAAGCCCCCATATTTGGCAGGCTGTAACGTTCTGTCTGTGTGCTTAGGTTGTGCTGCAGTCACCAATGTGCTGCAAAATGACTTTTTGGCCATAAGGAGTGGTAGGAATTTAAATACGTTTAAAAAAAATCAGTAAGAGGATTTTATGAAACTCTTAGAAAATGCAGATGGAAATAATATATTCAAGCAGTAGAGTTTTTCCCCACCAATAACAATCGAGAAGGCTCATTTGTTTTTACACAGTACATAAAGTTAAGTAATCAAACAGAGGAAATTGTGTTTGGTCCCTCGGGTTCAGTGTAGTACAAGCTTTATTTCCTATGTTGCCTGGAATTACCTGCAGAAGTTACTTCCCTCTCCGAAATATGAAAGAGAGGTCAACAACTCAATTTACTAAGGCTTTAAATGGGATACTAAATGTTAAAGCATTTTTTTGTAAACTGAAGTGCTAGTGTTTCACCTCGATAGTAATAGTTTAAAAAATCTGTTGCCCCTAGAGTTAAACTAGTTCTTGTTTGGGGTGTACATCAGTCACTTTGGATACTTCTCCAGTGTTGACCCCTACGTCTGACCTCTTGCAGGAGAATCTTGTCCTGTTATAATGTCTAGAACTTCATTATGTCCTGATGAGATCATGTAGGATTTATTCGTCCTAGAAGAAACTTTCTTGTGATTACTGCTTGCAATAACGCTCTGTGTCAGTGCTGAGACAGTGCACGTTACAGCACTTTGAGTGTCGTATTTGTCCCGTTAGTTTTCCAGTTGTGTGCCTTCTTTACAGTGCCTGCAGTTCAAACAGGTTTTACAGTCTTGTGAGGAAAGACTTGCATTTGTTATAGCTCACAGAACTACAAAGCATCTCTTATGCAACTTTTGTATGATCAATTGTCTGTTGCACATGAATCCCAATGGTAACTCTCAGTGCAGAGCGCTCCAGCAGCCTCCAGTGAGCATCCTGTGAACATGTTCATCGTGCTGTGTTGAGAAATTGTTTCTATTTCTCTCCTTAGGTGAACAGTGTTTGCTTAGAAGAAGTTACTCATGAAGAAGCAGTGACTGCCTTAAAAAACACATCTGACTTTGTTTATCTGAAAGTTGCAAAACCCACCAGCATGTTCATGAACGACAGTTATGCCCCTCCTGACATCACAAACTGTAAGTTCAGTTTATCTTTGTGATTTAATGATTTCTTTTTCCTTTGAGGCTTTGGCATGCCCTATTTTTAGTATTTTAAGCATTTCAAGCTTTTTAAAAATTAGACAGTGTGAAAATCTGATATAAGAAAATGGATTAATTGGGAAAATTATGTGCTGAAGAGAACAATATCTGATAGCTTGTGTACTGAGAAGACAGCAGCAGTCGGGCTCTTGGCGTGTGTCCGTGTGGCCTAGCCCTACTGACTCGGTGTTTCTGCTCACTCCCTGACGAGTACAAGGAGATGGTGTCCCTCATTCTCCTGAAGGCTGTGAAGACTGGGAGGAGGGGGGGAGGTCTTGACTGCCGATGCGTGCCTGCAAATGTGTTGTGAAATTCCACGTTCACTTGAAATCTTACTTCAGTTTTGACATAATTGATAATTCAAGTGGAAAACCAGTGAATGCTATATTGAAAATAGTTACAAGAATGTCTATAAGAGTGCTACTTACAGGAGTCATTTTGAAGTCGAACATTCAAATCCTGAAAGTTCACAGTTGAAGTACAACATAAAGAAAATTAGTTATTTAATATACTGTTTCTTCAAGAGGGATGTTACCATTTAGTGACTACAAATTGGTGTTCTCCTTTGGGTGGTTTTGTTTTTATATTCACATTATCTGTATCAGTAGGTACTTTTAAAGGAGTATGTGCTCTGGCAGTATGTGTAAGGGCACGCTGTTGTCCCTCTTCTCATGCAGCGAGTTAATTTATCTCAACTGGTGGATGAGCTGGAGACACTCAGTTCACTGAAGTTCATTGCATCATAACAGAGCCATAAAAGAGACAGCGGTGTCTTCAAGTACACCTTCTTACCATGTTTGCTGGCTCTTCAGGAAAGTTCATAGAAGAGAATAATAGAATGGTTTTGGTTGGAAAAGGCCTTTAAGGTCATCGAGTCCAACCACTGAACCAGCCCTAACTCCACCGCTAGATCATGTCTCGAAGCACAACATCTACTTGTCTTCTAAACTCCTCCAGGGATGGTGACTCAACCACCTCCCTGGGCAGCCTGTTCCAGACTTGAGAACCCTTTCAGTAAAGAATTTTCTCCTAATATCCAACCTAAACCTCCTCTTGGTTTTTGTTTTTCATTCGTGTGGGTTTTTTAAGCACTCGTTATATCAGATACATCTAAAAGTACTTACTGGCTTGGCATCTGTACTGTCTGCAGAACATGCAGCAGGTTACTCACTATGCTAACTTGTGTCAACATGGCACTTCATTCCAAAGTCCACAAAACACCAAATTCAACATTTGGTTGTCTCTAAGACTTTCTCTCTGGAACTGGTCTAGTTGAGTTACAGGGCTGCCTCACTTTCCTTGGTGATGAGCATTCAAAATGCAGAGCTAAGGATACTGAAGAACTGTTTGAGAACCAGGTTCACAGATTTCAGTGTCTAGGTTTTCTGCAAAATCTCTTTGCTTTTGAGACTCCTGCAGTAAGAGTGCCAGCCACACAATAGTATGGTCTTGTCAAGTGCTCTGATGACACAAAAGATGGGACAAAGTAAGTTAGCATCCACATAGATAATGAAATCATTTGGTATTTGATGTATCTTTGGGCTTAGTGTCTTTGAATTGAGGGACATTTGATCAAGACGTTTCTGAGATTCTGATTTACACCCGTATTTACTGAGATGAGTACAGGTCCTGCCAACACCGCACACCTGGGGCTGAAAATTGACCTCTGTAATTTGCTATTTACCAGAGTGGGTGAACGGCTTCTGACTGCCTATGGGGGAAGTTAATCTTGAACATCTTGTTAAAGAAGAACTGGGGCTTTCTGAGACCAGAGCATTTAGCAGGAAAAAATAACTCGGGGTTGTGTGCGATAGCTGTGGAGACTGGTGTACGAATGGATGATGAAAACTTGACCGCAGCCCCTGACGGTCTGGAATGGTTGATTGCTATGTGTGTTTGTGTTGTTTCTGTGAGGTTTTTTTAAGGCTTGAGGTGTGGAACACAGGAAGTTCCACTTAAATTTGAGAAGAAACTTCTTCTCAGTGAGGGTGACAGAGCACTGGCCCAGGCTGCCCAGAGAGGTTGTGGAGTCTCCTTCTCTGCAGACATTCAAAACCCGCCTGGACGCCTTCCTGTGTAACCTCATCTGGGTGTTCCTGCTCCGGCAGGGGGATTGGACTGGATGAGCTTTTGAGGTCCCTTCCAATCCCTAACGGTCTGGGATTCTGTGGACTGCTAGATTAGACAGATTGCAGTGATCTCCAGTTTCTGACTGAAGAAGAATGCAATTATGAATGCTTGTTCTTTCTGAGACATTGCCATTTGAGTACTGGTCTGTGTGGCACCCAGTGTCTGAGACACTGAAAAGGGAGAACTTCCAGTACAGGAAACATGGATATTCAACAAAAACCCCCTATGTTCACTGCAAGCAGAGGGACAGCAGCGCTGTCCTGTGGACAGGATGGTCCTGAGGACCAGTGCCACCCAGCTGGCTACCACCAGCCATTGGCAGCTGAACTGGTTTGTGTTTGATAGTCATAGCTGTCAGTCTTCTGTAACAGGCTGTATGTCGGTAGGGAATGGAAACTGCCTCAGTAATCTGTGTAGGTCATTAAATGGGTCCTGGAACAAATGCCCAGTAACTTGCTGGTATAAATATTTCTAAAGTTATTTGGTTGAAATGTTACTAAGAAGGTCTAGAACCTGTACATACACTACCTGTATGTTGCATATTTTTGAGACAGGACTTCTTCCTATACAGACCTTCTTTGAAGACATCATTAATTATGCATTTTTTATGTCAAATTTCAAGTAATTTTGCTCTGTGTGTGTGCCTGGGTACAGTATTTCCACTCCACATCGAGAAATAAAATACTGTAAGAGTTAGGGAATAATCAGCTTCCTTACTAGAGACATAAATGCCTAATTGTTCCTTAAATGGCATAAATACGGGAAGAGAAGAGCATGGAGTAACAGTAAATGGCAATACAGTTTTAATTTTGTTTCCCATTGTAGAGATTGTACTTGTGATTGGTGTCCTCAGTTTACAGGTAATGGGGAAATAATAGGAAATCTTCCCTCTTCTTTCTTTGTAGAACTGGTTATGTCAAGAGTGGGGGTGGATTTGGAAATGGAATTTCTCCTTAAGAGTCTTCGACTCTTCCTGTCAAAACAAGTTCATTTTATGCATGTAATTTTCTGCTCATTCAAAACACAGGTCCTTTATCACCCACATCAGTAATAATATTTACTTGGAAATAGACATTTAGACCTGATCCAGGCTTCAGAAAGTGATGGCTTGCCTTTTATTTCTGTCATGGTCTTCATGAATATTTTTCAGGTATAATCCCTAGGTTGCTTCATAGCCGAGTCCTAGTTACATGGTGAAAGTCCTGCAAGTCTGTGAACATGTAACCTTCAATGAAAAATCTAATTCCTTCCTATAAAACATGCATCGTTGTAGCTGTCATTGACTTGTTGAAAGCATCTGTAAATTCATTTTGTGAATTGAGAACAGAACGTACAGAGCTGCTGCACCGTGACGCGATCTTTAGTATTTTTTTTATTCAGGACCTTTTTTCTGCTAATTGGAAAAGAGCTCATCAAGTCTGCATTCCGTTTCTTTGTGCTTTAGCTGTAACACTTTCTGAGGAACACCAAAATAACTGTATTTATGAACAGTGGTAATTTTTTAAAGTATCACTTGCTTTAAACAAAAAGTGTGTACGGTGGCGTGGAAATACGCTGTTGTATTAAAATACTTATTTTGGGTTTTTTTTTTCAATTGAAAAGTAAATATTGCTGTATGCACTGGTAATCGTTGTAAGAATCTGCTGCCAAAACTCCAGTGAGGCTAAAAACAAGTTTTGAAATTGCCCATAAAGTGTCCAGATCTGTTAGGAGTGCGCAGAGGCTGCATCTCGTGCTGGGGCAGACAGAAAGCATTAAGGAGGGGGATCTGCAGTCTCTGAATCCTTGCAGGGAGCAGAAGGATGGAGGTGCAGTGTACACCTTGCAGCTGTTCTAAAACTTGGTTTAGGAGTCACGTGTCTTGAACAACTCCTAATTCTTGGGCAATTCTCAAATACGAATGCTTCTGTTGATCATCTGGTTTCTGCACAAGCGATGTTCCCTTTGCTGTAGACCTCTTGAAGCTCTCCTGGGGAAGCCTCCTGTTGTCCGTGTTGTAGAGGGGGACATCTACCTCTTGCACTGAGATTGTGAATTTTGCTGAAACCTCCTGTGAATCCAGAGCTGTGATTTCCAGAAGTTCTGCATGCTCCCAGACTGGGGCTTGCGACTCACTGACCACTGGTGTGGCTGAACAACGCACTTGGTCTCTTCACTGGCTGGTGCTTTTCAAGTACCTGGGCTGTTAGCAGTGGATTTTAATGCTTGCTGAAACACACTCTAGAAAACTGAAAGAACTCTAATAATCTGACAAAGCTGTAAAGAATGAGCTGCAGTGTGGCTAATCAGCTGTGATGGCAGAGGTTACGTGTACCAGGCGTTGTGGTGCTATTGGCTGTTCCCTATGTGACTTGGTACCTCTTTTATTAGACCGTTGGTCAGGGAGACCTCATTCATGTTTATAAATATTTAAAGGGTGAGTGTCACGAGGATGGAGCCAGGCTCTTCTCGGTGACAATGATAGGACAAGGGGTAATGGGCACAAGCTGGAACACAGGAGGTTCCACTGAAATTTGAGAAGAAACTTCTTCTCAGTGAGGGTGACAGAGCCCTGGCCCAGGCTGCCCAGAGAGGTTGTGGAGTCTCCTTCTCTGCAGACATTCAAAACCCGCCTGGACGCCTTCCTGTGCAACCTCATCTGGGTGTTCCTGCTCCGGCAGGGGGATTGGACTGGATGATCTTTTGAGGTCCCTTCCAATCCCTAACGTTCTGGGATTCTGTGATTCTGTGGTAAGGTAATGCTGATGTGATACAGGCTCCGTGTGTCAGACTCACTGCACGCAGGTTTACTGGGAATCCAGAGCAATGCAGAATCAACCCATCAATCCGTCACAGATTGGGTGGTTTGAAAGCTGCCCGTTTAGCAAATCTATCATAAAAATACTCGTGATGGAGTTTGTACATGATCCAAACATTCTGGCAGTGGTTTAAAAAAAAAAAGAGAGAATATACATGTTGCTTCTGTAATCTGTGCCACGTCCATTCATTTGAAAGCTTTGGGCTTGGTGTGAATCCTGAAAGGTCAGGCACCACGTCAGATACAGCAAGTGAAAAAGAACAAAAGCAGTCGGGCAACTTAAATAATGTTGAATCTGTGAAGTGTCTCCACCCTCTGTCTTTAAGCCTCAAAGCCTGAAGCACTTTTGTCAATTGTAGAACATGCTTTGTGGTAGCAGACAGCAGGTATGACTGCGCCTGGTGAATCGACACTTAAAATCGATGTGCTTAACGTGGAAATATAATGCACTCTCTTAATTATTTATTGGAACAGCTCTCCTGGAATTGTAGAATATTTTCCATCCCTTGAAATCATTAAGATGATACATCTTTCTAGTGTGTGTGTTGTGGCTCAGGTGCCTGTTGTGCAAGAGGTCAGACTAAATCCTGTTCATTCCCCTTCCCAGGTTTAATCAATGAACCTGTGAATAAGGCAACTGACCCTTGCCTTGCAGTTGAAATTTTTTGCGCTGCCTTGTTGAAAATTGATGCTGCTTGCCTTGAGGAGTACGAGGTGGAGTAATCCTACCTTTGTTTCCTTCTGAGTGCTGCTGGCTGAGCTGGTGGCATCACTACCAGCACCCGTGTCTAAGAAACGAAACGTCCCTCCCTGTTCAGACTGGTTATTCAGAACGGCCTGGAGTATTCTGGAGGTGTTAGGGTGCTCCACATCAAAGCGTTGCAAAGAGAGAGGTGGGCAGCTTCACAGTTAGGGAGAAGTGTGACATGAAAATGATGCATTTTTCACTGATGCTCCGACACAGTGATTTTAAGAAACTGAAGTTCCTAATTGACTTCAGTCAAGTTAAAGACAACTTTAAAACCAGATAAATCTCCAGACCGTCCTCATGGGCTTCAGCTATCCACGGTGTCTGTTTCTAAAGAGAGTTTCTTTGAGGCACATTCAAACTGGAAAATTTGTTTACTGACTCAGCATGAGGAGACTGGGGAATGTGCAGATGTGAGACGATGCTTTAGAATGGTGAGATTTGAACTGCTGTATTTCGTTTTTAGAAGAGGTCACTCCTTATGTTACTTTGTTTCATTTCCTCCAGCTCTTTTTCCTTATTGCCTTAGTGCTTATTTTATATTATTTATTCCTCTTTGAAGCTTATACTCAGCCAGTGGATAACCATATCACTCCATCTGCTTACCTGGGACAGACCCTGCCCCCAGCATCACCAGGGCGATACTCACCAATTCCCAAGGGAATGCTTGGAGATGACGAGATTACCAGGTAATGAACAACCAACCCTGTGAGATGGAGATTAGTTCTTACTTTAAAGCCAGCAATGCTTTTTCTTCCCTCCTCCCTGCCACCACCACGTACAAGGGTTTGTTTTGATGGATTTGTAAATCCAGAAAGGCTGGAGAGCTCTTAATCCTTTAGCATTAACAGACCATTCGTTCCTTCTCTGCTGCAGTAGATTGCATTAATCTTTCGTTCATCATTGCTGATACAAGGAAGCTCTTGTAATTTTCTTACCCTTCTGTTCTGCAAGCGTAGGGATGTCACACTGCATTTTTTAGTGTGTCCTTGCTGAATTCCGTGTCGCACCACCATCTGATACGGGTAACGTCAGTCAGCTCCTGAGGCAGGGTCTGCCCAGGATTGCATCCCTAGCACTGTAAGTTGGAGAATTAATCTTGGTCTGTTAGAAGGCAGGGTATATATTTATATTTTTATATATA